TAGTTTTTGGGGATTCCTTGATCCACTTGTTTTGTTTTCAAAGTATAGTTTCTTTTTAGCTAAGCAATTAAAAGAAACATGTCCAATTTTATTACAAAAAATACAAGTGGTGTTTGAAGCTTTAACAAACATATTTTTAAGAGATCTTTGTTTTAAAGAGGGTTTGAATCTGATTCCCCCTTTGTCAAATACAAATTTTTGATTTCCGAGCATCAAATCAAAATTTTTCTTGCTATCGGTGAATTCATAAATGATTTTTGTTAAATCATCAACCTTTCCTTTTCGAGAAGTGTTTTCCTTAACCAATAATTCATAATCAAGATTTTCTTTTGATTTTTTCAAAGTTTTCTTCAATTCATGTTTCAAAAGAGAATTTTTCTTTTTAAGAATAGAATGACTCAATGCAAGTTTTTCAAAATTTTCAAGCAATATATCATAAGAATTAAGTAGTTCATCTTAAGAAAAATTTCTTTTGCACTTACTTCATCTTCGAGGACCATATGTTAGTGATTTCATGATCATTGCTTTCATTTTGATATTCATTGTCGCTATCATCCCAAGTAGCTTGAAGTGCATTTTTCTTGAAGCTTTTCCTTTTGTTTGGGCACTAGGTTCTCTTGTAAGTTGTAATTGGGTTTGTCGCATTTATAGCAAATAATGTTCTTACTCTTTTCTTCTCCTTTGTCATTTTTTCTTTGAAACTTTTTATTGTTTCCAAAGTCTCTCCATTTTTTGACAAGAAGTACTAGATCATCGAGCTCTTCATCACTCATGTTAATTGTTGATGTCTCCTCGTCAATCGTCGATTTTAGAGCAATTTGTCGTTTAGGAGTTTCTTTTGATTTTTCTTTGCTCTTCTTTGACTTTTCCTTGATCTCAGCATTATTGAGTTCATAGGTCATCAAGGTTCCATATAATTCTTCCAAAGGATATGTATTCACATCATTTATGTTTTCTATAAGCGTCTGTATGTTACTCCATTCCTCCGAAAGTGACCTAAATATTTTGCTCACACTGTTAGTATATTTTCGATCAAAACCTTTTAAGCCATTAACAAAGTCGGTGAAACGAGTAATCATATTAACAATGGACTCATCTTGTTTCATAAAGAAATTTTCAAATTCTTTGACTAGCATATTTATCTTAGTTTACTTAACTTTATTTGTTCTAACATGAGTGACTTTTAGAGCATGCCAAATTTCATTATCCGAATCGCATGTGCTAATTCTATTGAATTCAATTCTATCTAGTGCACAATAAAGCAAATTATTGGCCTTAGTATTTAATTCAAATTTTCTTCTATCTTTTTCATCGTATACCTCTCTTGGCTTGGGAATACATTGATCGGGTTTGCCATCAATTTTAATGGGCTTTGTAAGCATATAAGGACCATATTCAATAATTTCCCAAATATTATAATCAATAGATTGAACATAAATAATCATTCTAACTTTCCAATAATTGTAATGTGTGCCATCAAAGAAGGGAGGTCGATTGGTAGAATGCCCCTTGAGATTTTGAAAACCGATGTTAGCCATAACTCAAGTTTGTAAAATCTTAGGTGAGTAACGAGCTCTGATTCCAATTGAAAGCCCAAGATTGGCTAACTAGAGGGGATAGAGAATGCAAACGATATGTTATGGAGGTTCGATCCAATGCAATAATCTACATCCCCCGTTACCAAGCTCTCTGTCACGAGTAAGGCCTTTTTCACTATGTTAATTGACTTGTGGTGCTATCTAACCCTTTACAACATTTTCGGTGACTTACAACCAATAAGCACCGATCATTTTACAAAGTTGAGCTTTTCGGGACTTCAACACGACCCACAATTCAAAATGAATTACAAGTGAAATATTCTCTTCTTATCGAATGGTAGATTCAAGGTTAATAACAGAAAAGAAGAGGCAAGCACTTCAATAGATGGCAATGAATATAGCTCAAAGTGTTGAAATGAAAAACTTCTTGAAAGACCAAAGATTTTCACAAAATTAATTGCTCAAAGGTTCTTCAAGAATTTTATGACAGTTGATCTTCTTAATGACAGAGAATAAGTGGTTGGGATCAATAAATGCTTCACTTTAATACTCAAAAAAGGGTTGTAGCAAATGAAAAGTGAGTGGGGGTATTTATATCACTCAAACCGGCCAAAACTCTGTCCATCTGGACAAGGCATCCGGACGTTCGGATCATGTAATCAACTAGCCGTTTGAAGATGTCAGGACTTCCGGATCGTGTAATCAACTAGCCCCCGGACGTTTTCTTGCGTGGTTTTTTGTTTGATATATTTTCTTAAAGTACTCTCTCACGTATTATTTTCAAGGTAAGTGACTCGATAAAGCTTTTATGCTATCATTTGATTTGAAAATAATATTTCTTATGCATAAAAATTTACTTTGAGCTCTTAGTGATCATTTGCCAAGTATTGAAACATTTTACCTTTAAATGAATATAAAACATCTAAGTACAATGTTTTGAACATTTTGGCGTGCATTGCTTGATCGTTCATCGACTTTTGTCTCGATTCTTTTTTAGGCTACTTTTCGCGGGTTTCAATATTGTTCTTTATACCTTCGATTTGCGAATTTGTTTCAATGTCGATCTTCGTGCGCAAATTACTTGACCTCGAACCATGTTATTGACTCTATACAATAATCACTATAGACACTTGTTTGTTAAAGACAAAAACAATTTGTTTGTGATAATCAAAACGAGACGTCAACCATATGTCAACAATTTTATCATGAAACACTAAGAAAAAAATAATAAATTCTTATATGCGTACCATTTCCAACGCCACTCTTGTTCAGGTTCGACTTTCTCGTATGAGTTCGTATTATAGAATTACGCAACAAGCTCTCAATTTTGTAAAACTGTACACTTTGACCTAGCCTAATAAATCTTTTCCATTTTCAAAGTATTTAACTTATTAAAATTGCAAATCAACGTTCAATGAAATTTGCAATCATACGAGATTTATTCTCTATTTCGTTCTCCTTGTATGTTTTCTTCCCCTCCTATTGCAACTTGGACTCCTTCAAGTCTTCTTCAAATCCAACACAATTCATCAACTTCCAATTGAACTCCCAAATTGAATTGCAAAATAGACTTCAACCAGAATTCCCAACTAGAATTCAAATAGAATTCTCAATTAATCTTCCAAATAAAATTCGTATCACACCCTAATTCTAAAAATATATTGATAATTGGAGGTTCGGCCTTTGTCCTCCTCCTAAGCACTTTGTATCTTTCTTTTGTTTTTTAGTAAATTGGTTCCATTGCTTAAAAGAAACTTTTCAGTATCACGGAATGCCATAAAAATGTCAAATTCATTGCCAAATTCTGAAGGAACAAACCTCCAGTGTTCAAGAACAGTAAATTAAGTTAATTAATACCCCATATTATGAACGCTAAAACAGCCAAAAAGGTGGTTTTATTATGGAAAAGGCTAGAAATATTAGTCAGTTAACCTTAATATTGCCTGCTTCTTTCATGGCACTTATTATCTTGAGTTGTTCAAGATGTTGAGGGACTGCAAGAGTAGATATCACAATATCTACTTGTTTCAACACCGTAACGAGTTTCTCGTGCTCGTCGAGTTCTCCCTGTTTAAAGATTTAATTAGATAATATTATTGAAATAATGACGTTACCATGCAAAAAATTGAAATTTGATAATATTGAAAAATAGTCAATCTTGTCTAAATAAACTCTTAATACTTGGAAAATGATTACTCCCATGGACTTGAAATTGTTGAGAAGCTCAATTTTGGAAGGATCGGCGCCATTCGATTTAATTGGACGAACATAAGCGTAAGTTGGATGGCCTATGGAAATGCTTGCTTTCACAATACACAAGGGTGCTCATAATGAACACATGGAGGCCCCCTATTGGGGAGGTGTCTGGGTTCATTATGGACACTATTATGGAAAATTCTTCTTATTTAATAGATTACTTTACTTGGTTTCAAATAATGGTAATAGTGTACTAAGATAAGGCAAAAACCACCACTTGAACACACGTACATTTTGTAGAAAGATCCAATCGATCGATAATGATCTCTCTTCTTCTTACATATGTTGATGGGATTCCTCCAAACTTCTCCTAGTTGATGGAATTTATCAATGGCTATAAAATGAGTTAAATTTATGCAATTTATGAAAGATGAAAACTGATGTTTTCTCTGTGAATTTTTTTTCTAATTAAACTTTTGTCAAGGGTTACACAACACCAAAAAATAGCTTTTGCAACACATAAAAGGCAACATTTGGTAGTTAAATGTTGCTAAAGAGGTCTATCGCAACATTTTAATACGTGAATGTTGTCATTGCTTAACAAAATTGAGCTTTAGCAACATTGTTTAAGTGAATGTTGCTAATGTTACCTTTTTGCAATGTTTTTTTGGTGTTGCGAAATTTTTTAAAGACAAAGCTTTTCGCAACGTTTTTTAAACGTTGCGAAAAAGTCTTTCGCAACGTTGTTTTAGAAAAACGTTGCAAAAACTCCCCCACCCCTTTTAATTAAATCATTTCAGCCCTAGCTATTCCTCACATCTCTCGCCTTTCCTTTCTTCTTCCCCCAGCCTCAAGAAACGCTCCACCCGTCCTCTCTCCCATGGTTGACGCCTTGATGGAGTCACTGGCCACACCCACGGCAGTCACGGAACCGGCTCCAACTTCTAATCTCCGTGCGACCGCGCCTCCCCCCGTTCCAACTTCCAAGCTCTGTGGCTCGTCCGGCTCCACCTGTCCTCACTTCTCTCTGAGCTCTCTCGGTCTCCCGGAACTCAGCACTCAGTCTCCTGGTAAGTTCCGGCACTCAGACAGTCAGACAAACCCCCCATTCCCGTTCTGTATATGCAGACTTTTGATTTTGTGTACAATTGAAATTTGAAATTAGGGTTTGAATTCTTGATGATAGACAATGTCAAGTGGACTTCATCGATCTTCGAGTGCTTGTATCAAACTGGCGGAAGGTAAAGTGGGAGTTCATAGGTTTGTTTTGATCCATTGAATTTATTGCCACTGAGACTATTGAAGGTCTGAAATGTTAGAGCACTTGGGAAAAATATTGATTAAGGATATAAAATTGAAGGCGGCAGTGGAGCAATGAATTTTGACATTTCGAAATTCAGATATAGCCTCTTTTTAAGAAACAAGTGCAACACTTTTTTTTCCCTTTTTGTTTGGTGGTTTTAATAATTTGCTTTTCAAAATTTTTGCAGTGTTGTGCTTGTTTAGTCTTTTGACCATGTCACATATTGAAGTCCTTGAGGAAGAGTTCAATGTTGAAGGAATCTGATTATTCGATGGGATTGGAAAATGGAGAGTTTTGAGCGAGGTTTGGATGTCAAGGAGAGTTTTTCAATGAAGTGGAAAACAGCAATATTAGGAGAAACATCATTGAGAAATTTGAGCTTGATTCAGGATACATTATTGGAGACCTTGGAAGAATTTAGGGAGAGATCACAGATTTTATAGGAGATAATTCAAGCGAAGTTGATAAACATCTGGTGATTGAGTCTTAGATTGGTCTCTGATTTGGGAGGGTAGGATCCCAGGCTGGAGAAACCTTTTGAGGAGGAAGAAATAAAGAAACAATTTTAAGATGGATAAGGAAAATGTACCTAGGCTTGGTTCTTTCAATATGACATTTTTCTCATAATCATCAGGAAATAGTGAAATTCATGTGTTAATCTTCTATATAAGGAAAATTATTTCTTGTGGTTGAAGTTCATGTGTTATAAATTTACACAAAGTTTCAAAAACCATAAAATTAATTAAGGGAAGGCCATTGTGATGTTACTGATTTTCCAACTTATTTAGCATTATACTAGCCAAACTGATACATCTTCTTGAGCTGTATTGTTATCCTTTTCTTGTGAGGTGGTAATACTTACATATACATAATTTGCAGGAGGAAACAGTGGCCACAATTTCACACATGCGCAAAGTTCATTGGTTTGAAAGCATTAGATACCTGAAGCTGCATGAATACTAGACGTTGATAGGTAATTTTCCAAATCATTTCTCCTTTCTCTGTCTAGATTTCTTGGCGTTATTTTTTTTATTCTTTTGAAATTTCAGGTATTTACCACCAATATTTCTTTCTTAATGGTTAAGAATATTTGTATACCATGTATTTGCTGCTGTTGCTGCTGCTTCTTTTTTTAAGATTAACTTTATCATAATCTGCGTTTTAATTTTTAATTTTGATTGTCTTTTAAAAAAAATCATAATCCATTTTTTTTTGTCAAAATTGATAGCTTTGCTACCATGTTGAAAGTTTTAGGCACCCTTTTCGCCCTTTCTTGATTATTTCATGGGTTTGTGGTAGATTTATATTTGAGTATATGTCTGGCTAATCAAAGGAAATGGGATTAATTAAGATCTCCTTTTAATCGAGTTACTAGAAATTAACAGAAAAGAATAAAGAAAGAAAATGTCTCTGGGTTATGAGGTACATATAAGCTACAAGTTACTTATAATGCAAAAAGTAGTGTGTTCCACGAAAACGTGTTGATAATAAATGGGGAGTATTTATAAATGTGTGGCTGAATTAATGTTTCTTTAA